AAAAAAAAAAAAAAAAAAAATTTTGATTCATTAAATATAACAAAGAGTATAGCTTAATGTAAATTATCTTTTTATAAAGTTATGTATGAAGATAATATTTACTGTATAAGTTGCTTTTCTGCTGTTTGAGCATTTCTAATAGCGTGACATTTAGTACTTAGTATTAAGGAATTACAACACTTAATCTCATTCTCTTGATCTTGTCTGAATTCTTGTNAGTATTAAGGAATTACAACACTTAATCTCATCCTCTTGATCTTGTCTGAATTGTTGTGCCCTGGCTAACAAGTAATTTGCTTTCTTGTTTGCTTCATCATCTAGCTATTATATTATTACAATGAATGTACACCCAAATAATTAATCAACAGTTGTAATTATTTTTCATGAGTTTCATAAGTAATGAATTTTTTTAATATAAACTACTTATATTATAATAATAACGGAAGGTTTATGTATTCAAGTTTCCTCTTGTAAATACAAATATTCAATATTTACTAACTGTTAGTTGGGTTGGTCACATAATTAATCAGAATAATGGTAACAATTTTGCTTTATTATTTCAATATTTTAGTAAGTAAAAATAAATATTGTCATAAAAATTTAGGGACGTTGAAAATACATACATATTTGAGTGTCAATTCGTATATGCTCATTTTATTTATCTATTTAAAATATATAAAAACCCAAATAACACAATTTTTACTTAGTGGAAATTACTATGGATCGACTATCATTCCTTAATTCATGATCAATGGAAAATTTTTCNGTCCACACTGTGCCTCGACCCCACTGTGCTACCGTTTTTTTTATAATTTAGTTACTCCTTTATAAATCAAAATAAGTTTTTAAACATTTTAAATTTAGAAAATTTTAAATAAATACTTCAGCTATTTTTTTCCTTTGGTTCGTAAGTTATCGTAATCTTGTAGTCGTTTTTTTCTTGCAGTAATCTCAGTTTATAATTTTTCTCTCTCTGATATCAATTGCTCAACAGCCAGTGTCGATCTTCTGCTGTTATCACCTTCGCTTTATTTTTCAACCGCTTATATGTGTTTTTGTCAATTACTTTGAAATACGATGGAGTAGTAAACGGTTTGTTTTCACTGTCTAGCTTGCAGAGACTAGCATCACGTATTTTTTTGTTTGTCTTACTCGTTATTTTTTCATTGGATAAATTGAAACTGACGTTATTTAGTGAAGTCATTGTAAAAATTTTAACACTATTAACAATATTTGCTTCAAAGTTCAACGATTTTTAAATGAAAAACAACAAAAATCTATTTTCCAGCTCACTTATTTTTCACACAAAATCAAATCATTGGGTATAACGCACGAAAAAAATCTACAAAAACGTGTAAGTATTCCTTAAACCGCAGAAAATCTCTATAGGCGATAAATTAGACGTTAGAGTTATCCGTACATTTTCAGTGTTTGTTTATTTATCTGTTGTTAGGGTCTGTTATGTTTCCAGGAGAAACGTTTATCGTCAAAAGGTTATCCAACAAACACAGTCAAACAATGGGGTTTAAATTTATATGACAATAACATCATTAATTATAGTTCACCAAGTAACACTGGTATATCAATATAGGTGCCTTACTTTTCTATAAAAAAGATATTATTAAAAATGACGTTAAACCAATGTTAGAGGTATTCTTAGTTAAAACATTTGAAAAAATATTTCATTGTTAAAAGAAAAGAACGTAAATTTAAAAATAATATGACTTCACCATTTCACAATGTAAGCATTTAAGCTTTAACGATATTTTCAGGGCCGTATTTAAGGGGTGGCTATGAAAGGCAATAGCCTTCCTCAAAAAAACATTCTTCAGGAGAATCTCAATATTAAAAAGCAAAACCTACAAATACTGTCAACATAAAAATTTAGATCAAATTTTTTTATTTTTATTTTAATACTAATAAGCTTATGTTAATAGGGGAAAATATTAACTTATTTTTAAAATTTTTGCTCATTGATATATTTTTTTTGAATTTATGTAGCCACCCCAATCCAAAATCATAATACGGTCCTGATTAATCTTCAAACATTTAAAAATTAACTATTTTCTTTTGTTGTAGAACCTTCAATGAAGCAAATAAAATATTTAAATTAATTGATGAAATACTTATAGAAAATCTTAAAAATAAAATTCGTATAAATTCTGTTGAAGTTATTGGCGTCAAAAATAAATAAACTTAATTTATGGCGTTTGAGCCTTTTATTCTTTAGTAATAGTTAAACGTCTAAGGTTTCATTAATCTAAAACAAAAAATAGAATTATTAAAGTTTCATTAAATGAAAGTTATTGTTTTAAACTTAATGCAATCAAATGTCAGTCTTTATTTTTAACAACTTAACAACTGTATCAACACAACATTAGTGATAAATAATATGTTAAAAAAAAATTATTATACATTTCTTAAGCTTATTTAGCATTGTTTATTTTCACGAAACTTAACTAAATAATGAATTATCTGACTATAAAAATAATAGTAAAAAAATAAAATGCCAACAATTCAATTTGTTGTTTTTTGTTCAATAAAATGTTAATAAACATATACATAAAAAAGCTTGTTTTGCAAGTGAAAATTTAGTATTTTTATTTTCTTCTTTTTTTAAATTATTAAATAACAAAAAAAAAAACAATTAACTTTTGTGTGTAACTTTATATTTTAAAAGTATAAAAAATAAAAGGTTAAACGATGCTAAATTGTTTTCTGTTTACTGTGAAAAAACCTTCGAGAATTTATCTCTATTTTCACCTTTGGGAACTGCTTTGTACTTTTATGCTCAAAAGAGTTAACAAAATAAAATAGTTTAGTGATCATACATCGTCTAAAGTTTACCTTTAGATATTTCATTCTAGGTATAATGTAAATAAATAACTATATTTCCCAAGATTCATTAAAATTCAATCAAATTTTACATTTTTATAAAACATTTATTTTTAATGTGATTAGTACCTAACTATTATTTCACTATAAACTTAAAAATTTACTTCAATTATTTTTCGTACAGAGTGATTGTTGAACCACGTGAATCATCCAATATTTTTAGAAATATAAAACATATAATTTTCAAAATTGAATTGTATTTTACGTTTAATAATTAAAAAAAAAATTAATTCTAATTTCTTCTCCCCTGAAAATATTATCAACTACGTTCAAATTTTGTAAATCATGTCGGATTGAATAATACTATTGTTGCATATAGAAATCGCAATTAAATTAATTATAAGTAGCACTTCGATAATTGTGTATTCTTTACAACCCCTATTATTATTACGACAAGTCCTCTTTTAATCTGTTTAATAAAATTCATGTGAGCTAAGATCAAGAACTTTATTTGGAAAACACCGGTGACAAATGATCGAAAAAGATAGCTTTGTAAAATACCAACGGCTTATCGAAACATTTCCCGATAGTTTGGAAATGTATTCCAACTCTAATGGTAGTAAATGAACGGTATGTCTTAAATGCTATATATATTTTTTTAATTTGAAAAACTTACATTATTTTATTACACATGATTACAGTAAACATCCATATTAAATCTATTCAAATAGAAAAAAAAATTTTTTATCCCCCAAAATTATGTATTAAGATTAAATAGAGCATTTGCTAAAATTTTATCTTCCTACGATTTTTTTTCAGACGGCTCATTAATACTTGGTATTTTCCACCTGATTAATATGTAAACATCGTACATTTGTAATATATTTTCATGAAGTATTAACTACGCTGTCAATGTATAAAGTCATGTTGAACTAATACTAGTTTTTTTTAATAAAAAAAATTTTCTATTGGTTCCATTAATTCGAGAAATATTAATTAATTTTAAGGATACATAAATGTCAATTATGTTTTTAATATGCGTTATTTAGTAGTACTAAAAGTATCATAAATAAAATAAATTTTCAATATCTGTGCATTGTATCTCTACTCGTGAAAATCTACCTTAAAACTACGATTATCCTAGACGCCTAATAGTCGAAGATTTTCTCTGACAAAAACTAATTTATGTTGAGAGACGTAATTCATCCCTGGAATAAATCACGGTCAGGTGTACAAGCGAGATTATTTGTATATATGTGTGTGTGTGTGTGTGATAAAAAGGAAGGGGATGGAGGCAATATGGTCAATGTGGTAAGCAGGATGGATACAAGGGTATAATATCACGTGCGTATGCGACGGTGGCGACGGCGGACGGCGACAGACGGGATCGTATCAGTGTTGCTTTGGAGAAATATGCTGCGCTATATGTGGTTGAAAGCAGACGGGACTGCGTAACGAGCCCATCACAACGGTTGTCTCATCACTCGTGGACCATGACGTTCGCGGCACTCGTGCTAGCCGTCGTCGTGTTTGCCTCGTTTGCTGGTTGTCACACTTGTAAGTATACACTGCTATGTTTTGTCTATAAAACGAAATACTCATGTAACGGACTTAAAGTTTTAACATTATTATGCTCAAACATAACTTTCATATAACAATATATAACAATCTTTATTCACGGAAATTATCTCAAAGACATAATTTAAGGGACAGTATATGTAATTGGTAACGATCGTATATTTTACTATTTCAATTTTTTAGTTCACTTTTAGTTCTGAGCGTAGATGTATAAAGAATTGTATGCGCAAAGACCGGATGGAAATACGAAATTTCATAAAATATAATGGGTAAAATTTTCTATGTAACAATGATCATCGATAATTAACTTTAGATTATTTTTGCATATGAATATATTCTAGAAATTGTTCATATTTTTTTTAAATCATTAATTTAAGTAAGGACTAAAAAATTTGAAATTTTTTTTATAAAAATTATGCTACAATAGGAAATTCGAAAAATAAACAAGCTTTAACGGAAATTAAAATACTTATGATGTAAGAACATGCTAGTGAAGTTATAAATGAGACAAGATATGAATACTAACTATTTTGAAAATAGTTTTGATGTTTCGCTGTTAAATTGTATTTTAGGAAGATACAATTTAAAACAATCTTATTGTGAAATGATTTTATGAATGATAAAGCAATTGAATTTGGATGGTTACAAATGAAAAATAAAATGTGTGATATCACTTAGACTTTGTGAATCTTATTACTTAATACTGTTAATTATAAAAATTCATAAAAAATAGACAATTACTTTTATTAGAAAAACGAAATCACACGTTAAAAAATACATGATGTTTTAGAAAAAGAAATAATAAAATGATCGAGAAGGATTAAATTGTTCCCAAGAGTCTCGTTGTTTAAAATAGATTTCTCTGTGTTCATGTTTGTATTTAATATTGACAGTTGCTTATTGAATATTTGAAAAAATAAATTTAACTTATTAAAATTGTCTAAAATGTGTAATAACCAAGTCAAAAATGTCATCATATCCTTTTGATAAAATATGTGGAAAGGTTCAGAAAAACACGTCTGAATTTGACACTATTTAAAAATATTTGGATTGTTTCCAGATAGGCAATTTACTTTCTGTTTTTTTTTGTTATATAATCAAGTAAAAAGAGTTAGAGAGAGGGCAGTTTGCCAGTCCAGCTTGTCCCTAACCTAACCTCGTATGTTATTCCGACAGACTGAACGTGATGATAACGGCTAGTTTTTTAAATTTATAGTGGAAATTATTATCCGATTATTGGTTTCGAATAAATTACTTATTATTATTAATTATTATTGTTATTTAACGAGGATTGACAATCTCTCAAGTAATTGTACATTTAGGTTTATAGAAAATAATTTAGTGAATGCGGTTTGCTGCAAATCCTTAAGTTAAATAGCTTTAATAAAAGTATTGAAACAGTTTACCACGACTTTTTACTCATAAATTCGTTTTGGTAAATTTAATATAATACTCAAATATACACATAGAAAGTTCAGGGATGAAAACTGTAATAAACGTTGTGTATGTAATATGTTAACGCCATTCACGTAGGGCCTTTATTTTTATGACTTCGACTGGCCATGACATTTTGCTGAAATACACTTATTTATGTGAACTGCTATAGTTTTATGGAGAAAATAATTGTGAGCGTTGTTAATACCAAAGACTTGAAAATGTGAACGTATCACTTATACGTATTTACATTTTATAATAGACAATTGAAAGTAAAGTTCCTATCTTCGTTGCAGGACCTTATATTTGAGCATATTTCCAGGTCAGTAAGTACGAAATATCAACTTAAGACGAATACGCAATGTGTATTATGCGAGACTACAAACATTCGTTCAACTAACATTTATTGTCCTTTAATAAATTTCGTATGCACCGATATGATACCAAGTCCACCCATCCTATTAGAATAGGCTTATTAAAAATATTGGATATTGAATTTTAATAAGAATTATTTCAAACTATCCTGTTATTTAAAAATAGTAAAAATCAATATCACTTATAAACTACCTAATATTATCTTTTGGTATAAAATAAATATTTGTTAACTTAATTCTCAAAGTCGTGCGATAAATAGTCGCATACTACTTAAATAACAACATCAATGTAATAAAAATGGTCCTGAATATGTACCAAAATTTGATATATATGTATAAATTCAATATATTTACCATACTAATGGGTGATAAATAATAAATAGATAAATAATGCAGCCTGTAAGGTCGATGAATATTAATAATTTTAGTTAACTATACACCATGTGAGCAACAAATTCAAATAACAATTTTCAGCATATGGAAAAAAATATTTTTATAGTGATAATTTCTAAATAACTAAATTTATTGATATTCATCGAACTTCTAGACTGTATTATTTATCTATTTGTTATTTATCACTCATTGGTATAGTAAATATATTGAATTTAACAAATGTATACTGTACATTATGCCAGATTAATGTACTTTAGGTACACATTCAAGGACCATTTTTACTACATTCATATTGTTATTCATTTATGGTCTATTTTCAGCAGAAATTATTGTTATACTTAAAATTTTCATTTTCCATTTTATTTAAACTCAATATTTAGTGTCATTCGCATTAATTAAATTAGATTTAAATAGTAATATAAGACAACCAATCCTCATAAAAAAATATAAACGAATAAGTTATTTCACGGTAAATATAATTTTACTATAATTGTGATCTTTAACTTCAATATTAAATTTTAATTTAAATAAACAGTTGGTATCCTATAATATAATGATTTTATTTATTGTTATAAATAAGTGTCTGTTATTCTGATCAAATTGGTTAAATTTTTATTATTTAAATAACTTTTTTCTTTGCTCAGATTATAAATAAAGAATTTAAAGTGGTTTAAATAATATTTAATTTTTAAAGCTAGTTCAGGAAAATAATTTTGATCATTTTATATATAATTGAATTGTTTAACAAATATATTTGAATAATAAACCATCAAACATTTTTATTATCAACAATATTGCATTGACTAAAATAATTCTGATTTATTTTTATTTTCAAAATAAAAACTATGGATCTATTTATGAACTTAGGACTTAATTCTTTGACCATTATCCGATATAATCTTAACTTATCTAAAATACAAAATCCTAAATTTTTTTTAAATGTTTAATTTTAATTCCATTCAAGTATGTCAATTTTTGGATCATTTCAATAATTAAAAAATTAATCAATTCGATTAAAAAAAAAAACAAATTTTACTTCAAGCCATTATTTTAATAAATTAAAATACTTAATATAAATTTTATTATTATATTATAACTACATAAATCATAATAGTTAAGTTTAATTATATTAAAATAAAGAACTAATATATTTATAAAATACAATAAAAAGTAAAAAGACGGGAACAAAAAACTTGGCCAAACATTTGAGATGATATCACATTTATCTAAGCTTTTATTTAAAACTTAACTTTCATTTATCTCAGTTTTAACATACTACAATTAGCATACACTATATACACTATATGTAGATATACGATTTTAGTACGGTAAGAGAGAGTAGGAGTCACTGAGCCAAGTGGGAAGAAAGTCAACAGCCAACAGCCGGTCTGACCAGCCGTATTAAATGTTTCACATTCAGACAAAAATTCGTAGGTTAAAAAAATTTCTTTGCATTTATTACCTAAAAAACCTTTGAAATTTTAACTTTTTAATTTTATTTAATTATATTATATATTTATTAACTGCTCATAAATATTATACATTTTTATGATCGGTCAATAAAATCTAAAACATCAATAGTATTCGATTAATTTTTATGATTTGATTTTACCAGTTGAAAATATTAATGATGTATTGAATGATTTTCATTTATTAAATTTTATAATTTTCATAAATATACGATGATTGATGTCTTGCAATAAATTAATTTATTAAACGTGATATAATTTATCATTTTTTCAAATTGGCCCCCCGTACTATAGACACTATTAACTAACAGGATATTCGCTTTAAACGTTAGATTGTAGTTTACGAAATTATCCATTAGCAATTTGTAATATTATTTTAAGGTTTAAACATTATGAACAAAATAATAAAAAAACTTTTTATTTAATTTTGAGGCTACAGCTGTTTGAGATACAATGTTTTGAATTTAACGGTAAAATAGGAATTTGTGTTGCATCTGATTATGATGACATAGAAAGAATATACTAAAATCCGGTTACTATTAAATTTTAAATATAAAATATCAAGTGTATTTTTCATTCAATAAAAATTCATTTTCATTACGTTATTTAGATTGTTTATCTGACTTGAGTTTAACATTTAATAAAATTCTATTTACGTGAGCATATAAGTAAATTTCATTCATAAACAAGATTTTTAAAAATAAAATTGAATTAATATATTAGGAGAATAATAGTAATAATAAATGTTTAATGTGGAGGTAATTTAATTAGAGCTGTTTGAAAAAACGTTGGAAACATTTATTAGGATTCAAACTAATTAAGAAAAACATTTGTTAGTGGTATTAAAAACTTCTAGAATAGAAGTTGAAAAGAAGCTAAGGGAGTAATAAAATTAAGTTTATCAAAGAAAGTAAAGAAATGTTAAGGCCGTAAAAAGTCGAGATTATTTGACTTCTTAACGTGACTCCGTTTTACCTCAAAAGAAATATTTAGAATTTTAAAAAAAGCTTTTTGTAAATATACATATTTAATATTAAAAATGTTGATTTCATATTTTTATAATTTTTAAATTTCATATTCACTGTATTTTAACAACGTTTTATATTTATATTTTTAACAGTAGACGTGTTACCAAATGAGTTGACCAAGGGAACATATCAGAGTTACTCGCCATACAATGGTACAACACAGTATTACTTTGATGAAATTGAAGATGTGGACGAAGATATGGATGAAGAAGATCCAAAAGCTGAAGATGATGATCGTGTTTATAAAAATCCTAGAAAGTTGCCGTCATCTGAATGTCCTCGGAACGAGGAATTAGCATCTTTCATGGTAAAATAAAAAATACGTGATAAAATATCTTTAAGAAATGAAAAAATGTTAAAATATATAATACTGTAGCAATTCTATAAAGTATATTATATTCATTTAAAGGATTACCCTAACTATAGATTTTTAATTGACAAACCCAAATTTTTATATCATCAGATTTATTTAATTGGAAAATAAATTTTTGTTAAAATAATCTTTTAATAAAAATCGATTTTCAACGAGTTGCAGCTGTTTAGGGACGATCAGAAAAGAAGCGTACTTATTTTTAAAAGGTGGCATTAACATTATCATGTTATATATTGATAAACGCTAGCTGTTCATAGAAATATAATAAACTGTACATCCTATCATGTTATGAACCAGTAACTGTGTTGAGAAAATTCCCTTTTAAACGGAACTTATTCCCTTCTTTTTTTCTAAAAAAGAGAGCTCATTCCCCTTTTCGTTTCTTTTGCGCCTATGATTCTGTGCTTTTAAGATACTACGGTTTTAATTTAATATTTTTTAAATATCACTGAAAACTTTATATATATATCAGAGTAATGTATTAGGTTTTAAAATGTTGACTATATAATGGAAACATAATACAGATATATAATTAGGGAAATCAATTCCAGATCAGATTTTAATGCAAAAAATATTGTCAATAATCAACGTAAAAGTAAATATTTATTTATAATACATAGAAACAAGAAAACAATTTTATATAAACTAAATATTTATATTTTTTAAATAGATATTTAATATTTTAATACTTGGAACAAACGTATTTCTAAAAATAATACATTTAAAAATGAAATAATAGTTCTAACATATTTGAAAAAACATCACGACGAGTTATTGTAGGAATATGTACATGAATAACTTAGACGATGTTTGCATCTATGGTCTATCATAACTTTGAAGTCCCAAAAGTAATTCTTACTAAACTTGATACATAAATAACTTTAGGGACAAATTATAAAAACAACGATACTATTGTCGTAACTTAAATGGTTACTGATTTAAGATGACCGCATTGACACTTACGAATATCCTTAGTATACCATAAAATATACAATAGTTAGGTGGAAGTAATAAATTAAAGACCAGAGAGGCGCCCACTAATTAGCTAGAAAGTTATACATTTATTTGAATATAAGGGATATTGATAACGTAATGTTCTATATTTTAATCAAAGTATAATTAAGTTAAGTTAATTAACTTATACTACTAATTAGGGTTCGCCAGCGGTATCGATATTTTGATTCGATATCGATATCGTCGACTTTTTTAATTTTTCCCACGCTATCGATTATTTTTAAAATACTGCGATAATCGAAAACAAATGTTAATAAAAAAACTGTTTGAATTTTGGTCACTTTATTATAAATTATATATTATTAAATATTAGGTTAAAAATAGTTTGTGATAATCTTGTAACTCATTTTTTGTATTAAAATTTACTATGAAATATAGAATTGAGATATGACGTAAAATTATATTTATTAATACAAAATTTCTATTCTTAGATTAGGTTTTTTTTATGACATTGTTGTTATTCCTATTTTTAATACAATACCAACAAAGTAAAGTAGAATAAGTGAAAGAAATTTCAGAATTAGAAAATTTACAGCAACTCAATCTGAAAAATAAAATGATTACATGATATTACTATTAGATCATAGTGATGATATTTTATTTTGTAAAAGATTAAATTTTATTTTTGAGAAATAGAAAAATTGTTTTCAGTCGTGATTTAAATCAATAAAAAAAATATAAATACCACTTATAATTTTTTTATTTTAATTTTACCATGATGTTTTTATTTTTTGTGTCTATCGCTACTTTTTCTCAACTGGACTGATTTTTCTCAATGATACGTCAAAACATCACTAATCAAGTTGAAGACCCTCAACAATTTTTTCATTTAAAACCAAAAAATTGAAACTATATTAGTATTATTCAAAAAAACAAATTCATCCAATATAATATAACCAATTTATAATAATATTCTTGTAACAAAAAATAACTCATTTTTTCATAATAAAAAGTAATTTGAATTATATTTAATTATCGTATAGCGATGTAGCTACTAACTATATTTTTTGATATTAAAATCATTATCTGATTATACCGTTGATGATTTTCACAACAATGGTAACTTTTTTTGATATTGCGATATATTGCTGAAATTAGGTACGATATCGATGTCCAAAGACATATCGTTGACGAACCCTATTACTAATATATATATTTTCTCTTATTTCCATTTAATTATTTTAGAAATGTAAGTTCTTTGAACATTTTGATTCATTAATTTCTCTTTTTCTATCTGTATGTTATATATATATATATATATTCAAGTTGTAATTATTTTTATTTTGCTAAGTAATCGTTAATGATTATTTTGGAATATAAGTAGTATATTGGTTGGTATCGTAATGAATAACGACTTCCAAAAATTTACAATTTACCTGAAACATCTCTTCACCAAATGTAGTTAATTCTTTGTCGAGCCATTAACACAAGCACTGTTGTAATCACAAGTACGCATACCTATAATAATTTATTTATGTATTTAGGATGTGTTGTTGTAATGATTGATGATTTTTTAATTTAAATATATAGGTAGCTCTAAGTTAATGTTTTTTCAACAATACAATGATATTTTTGCCTGTTATATAATTTATTTATCTTTCCCTGAATGTCCAAGAGTTTCAAATCTATATCTGATTAGTTAATAAAAAAATAATAAATTAAAAAAAAATTTACTATTATTTTTATATAAAAATAGGGACAAGAATGCTTAAGAAAATGTACGATGGACGAAGATTGTAAAAGCAAAAAAAAACATTGTCTTTGTGATGGACTTTGTGGAATGTCATGTGTAAAACCAGGTAAAATTACTATTTTTTTAATTAAAAATACTTTGATGGGTATTAATTGTAATCGTAGTCATTCATATGGAATTAAAATGATTTTGGCTAGGCATTTTAAAGTTATGGTAATAAATTAATATCGTCATAAATGAATATTACTACTAATTATAGTTTATTAATAAAATGTTATCCCTCTCGTTGTAAAATTTAATAGTAATTTTAATTACTGTTTCAAAATATTTTTATAATCATTAGAGATTTTAAATGAAAAATAATTTTTCAAATTAATTCTTTGAGTTAATAATTTCTAAAGATTAAAAGTATAACGGAACTGATAATTACCGTTTTGTAGTTAAATTATTGGCGTAAGTAATTTGAATTGATTTTATTGTACATACATTTAATTTAATTTTTATATCTGAATAATATTTTTGTATTATCTTAAAAAAAACAATAAAGAAAAAAAACATTACTCATATTTTACCTTGATCTACTTTCTTAACAAACCTTTATTCGGTATGCTACATTTTTCTTTAGGAAACTTGAAACAACAGAGATTTACTTTGTGACAGATTTTATTCCATTAGATTCCAAAGTAAATTATAACTCCATAAGCCTTCTGAGTAGTTTAAAGCGCTGAAAATAATATCAAAAGACTGAGTTTATTTAAAAATAATAAAGTAAGACGACTTAAAAAGTTTTAGTCATTGTTGTCACTTTGTCAAAAGAGAAAAAAAATGAACTCAAAAATAGAAAACAATGCAATATACATATGTGTTTATGATTTTCAATTCGATTTTATAAATATAAAACAGACAATGAAAATATATGTTCTTTGGGTAACTTTTACCTCGATGATATAATTTTATAGATACAATTGTATTCTGAAACAAGATTCAGAAAAAAATGATATTCATATTATTTGATATACAAGACATTTAAATAATAAAAATGGCTTGATTTTCGTTTTATTTGTTAGCAGTATTAATAGAAATTCTAATTTTTTTCTTGTACATTGTTAGTTGTTTATTGAAATTTATTATATTGTTCAAATGATTTTGTGGTCATCAAATGTACCTATAAATTATTTGTTGGTACTTCCTGTATGTGTTGTAGTTAAGGAAAAAAAGCTTTATATGATCTTCCAGGGCGAAAATCGGTATACATATAAGATATAATAATTTTAATAATGATAACTATGTGAAGATTTCCTTAAGTACTTGCCTTCGTGTTGAAATCCTAATAATACTTTTACATCGAATTACGTCAATTGGTCGCGCTAGAATTTGTGGTATACTTTTGGTCGTATTGTACACTCGTCGCTGGTTTGTAAGTTACAGGTTTTTTTGTAACGATAATTGTANAGTTACAGGTTTTTTTGTCACGATAATTGTTCTAATTGAAATACCAAAATATGTCAATCGATTTGCTGTGCATTTATAAATAATTTATTAATTTTAAGTAATTAATATTAACATTAGTATTGTTTAATTTAATGTTTAAAAATTAAACTAATGACTTAAAAGATATATAAATTATTATGCACCGCGGAGATTATTTATTATAAAAGTCATTTAATTTTGTATATAGGAATATTTTTTCAAATCTTTATTTCATTATTGAACGTACATAAAAGCTTATATACATTATTTTGTATTTTATACTTTTTTTGTTTATTGGTTTTTTATTTTTATTATTTTGTTTTTTATTATAAGATCACATTATTTATCGTACTGCGCTTGTGTTTTTGTTATCTGCTACATTTTATTTTTAATTTGATAATTTTATAAATGTGTGTTAAATTAAATCATTATATGATTTCATTGTGATGTTAGCATCATTTAATTTTCATATAAGCTTCGATGAGAAGAAGAAGGTTTTGATGTAGTGTGTTTATTTTATGTTTGCCAATAAAATTTCTTAGCTCTAATTAGACTTATTTCAATAAATAATACGTCATGTACTCGATTTTCATCTAGCTAAACCAGTTATCACTAAAAATTGTAAAAAAAACCCTCAATTTTAGAAATTTAGAAAAATATCTCAATATTACTGTAATGTCAAAAACGACATTTTCAAAAATATTTTCTGAGTTTTTAAACTGCTATAAACTTTTTTTTTAAATCACTGATCTAATAGAAATTTTATTTTTTTTGTACGCTTTTTATGAAAATTCAAGTAATAATATGTTCCGGAACTTGTGCCCTATTTTCACGTATACTCCAAACAACATTTCTTTAGAAGTACTACAATGTAAAAAAAGCAACCAACTATTGTTCTACAATGAAAAATTGGCTGTCAATGTAAAAAAAATAAAACTTTTTGCGAAAATAATTCCTTTAATTTTTGAAGGTATCAGCAAAAAGAAACGAATTTTTTTCTAAAAAAATACTTCAATTCCAATTATGTTCTATTATGGGTGTCTTGTACTTCATATTTCCGTATGACTGTAATTAATTGTTTAGCAGAAAAGTTTAGACTAAACGATTATAGACATTTTCAATGCATATCTTATACTTGTCCCAACTGTGTCGTGACCACAGTAATTTAACACAATAATTGTTTTAGCATAAAACAATTATTGGCCAAAAACTTACATACGTCTATTTTAAAAATTTTACATGATATGAATAAAACATAAATATTATTATTTCAATATTATATTACATAATCATTTAATTAATACAAGGGTGTGTCAGGAATTTTGTTATGGGAGAGAATAGATAAGAGATTATTCTACTCTACCTCCAATTGTATTTTCAACACCTTTTGATAATCTATTCTTCATATTTATTCCGTTCACAAGTATCACTCAATATTTTCGAAGTAAATTCATACACTGCGATTCTACGGATTTTGTTTTTTATAGCATCGCACAAGTACTAACTTTTCTATTGAATGTGTGCCATAGATTGAATTAATGTTGACATGAAACATTCGTATTAATAATGTTATTAGTTTCATTCGTTGATAGAACTTGCAACGCCGTCTTGCAATAAGTGTGCAAGAGTAGGCTATGTGTGCACACAATTCCTTGATGAATGACAGAATTCTGTTGTTGTTTACATTACTTCTTTCTTTGGTATTTGCTTTTTCTTGAATATACTTTTGTCGTGACAGTAGCCAAATTGAAAATCCCTCTGGCCTATTTTGCAGTTTTGAACTTTGAAGTATTGCCTGTGCTCGTGATAAACAGAAAAACGTCGACCAGAATTATCATTCTGAGCGACAAAATACCATTCGCGACACGAACATTTTTTTAAGTAAATGCTTCGGGCGTCACAGTCAGCATAGTAATGTGAACATTATATTTTTGGAACTGACGTAATTAAAAAATTAACATTAAACTTAAATTAGACATATTTTTTGTGAGCATCACAGTTTTTGGTATTTTACACAATGGTGACCTAATTACTAAAATATAAATGTAAGTTTATAGTGATTGTAATCGTATAGAATGAGATTTATAAATCTTATGAATAACTAAAACATAAGAATTTACCCTCTTAATATTTAATAAAAATTAATTTTAAAACAGTGGTGTGTCTAGAGGGTAATCTGGGTAGGCTTTGAGCTGCCATCTTTTCGGGGTAAGGTTTAGGTACGGACTACTTAAAAATTTCCCTTAAAGTGATGTAGCCCTAGTACTAAAGGTTTAGATTATAATAATTAAATTGGACTTGTTCTAAATTTTGTTCCTGATCCAGAATTTTCAAAAAGTTTTTGTCGAAAATCAAAAGTCGGACTTTGTACAATTTCCATTTAATCATTTAGGTTTTCATTAAATAATTAAAGCGTGATCATAAACATGACCTTCAGTGTTATAAACAATAATCTTTTTTCTTTTTTATTAATATATAATTTTTTTGATACTATTCATCATAAATTTAATGAGAGTAAACATAGTTTTTCCATTGACATATGGAAAAGTTATTATATAGACATCGAATATAATATGTACATTATTTAATAGTTACATTTTAATAAAATAGTTTTTTTAGTACCTACGTTATTTTAAAAGATTTATGAGTTCTTACTCATTCTATTATTTAGTTAAACTATTCGGAGTAATTCAATAGTAGAGTATCTCACTCGAGTAAAAATTTACATAATGTTATATTTTTGTTTACACGTTCAAAGAGCATTAAAATTATAGTTACTTATAATAATTGAATGAAAAAAATGTTATTAAGCATAAGTATTTTTTGCTAATTTCGTCTGTTAAAATTGAATCCCCCTTGTAGTCAGGTAAGAGGTCAGATTAATAAAAAAAATATACTAAATGATAGGTAAAGACATCAAGCATCAATAAAAAAAAATTATATTGATTTGTTCATTTTTGAAAAAGTTATGGCTGTTTTAAGTAAAAAAAACTGAAAAAATTTCGAAAATTAGCGATTATTAAATTTATAATTTTTTTGGAGGTTTTTTCCATTTATTTATGGAATTAGGGATATTTTTTCAATTTTTGAGGGTACTGTATTCGACTAGATACGATTTGTGATCTTTTGACGTATCGTTGAAAGAAATTGGTTTGATGAGAGTTGAGAAAAAGTGGTAACAGACACAAAAGAAAACACATCATAATAAAACCAATACCTTCTCAGCTTTGCATCGAAGCTAAAATTTCATTTTGAATATTTTTTTTAATTAAAAAAAAATATTGCGAGTATTTTATGTGAGTTAATAAATTATGCTGTACATTTTATTGTGATTTTTTTAATCGGCTCTAATAATAAAACCAAAAGTGTCAGAATTAACATTATTATATTAAGACAATAAAGCGTTTCTTTAACAATGAAGATTCAATCCTCGTAATACTTTATACCAATGGTTTTTTTAATAGGAATACGATTTAGTGTGTAATATATTAAATGAAAATATTGAATTACTGTTGTATGATTTTTATGTAACATAACAAAAAAAATACCATGCGTTTTTATTGTTATTTTTTACCAATACTTCAGTCATGTTATATTTTACTATGTATTATTTGGGTAATTTTTTACGAATTTATAAAAGATTATTATAATTAAATAAAAAATTTTAACAAGTCTAATTTTCTTTTAGGTGTTAAATAAATAATATAACTAGTTATATTAGATATAAATAAATTAGATATAACTAGTTATATTAGTATTCATAAATTAATAATTAAATTTATGATTCATATTCTCGAAAGAAAATATAACTTAATAAAATAACATCTTCACATACAAGAAATTTTTAATATTAACACTTGGAATTTGTTCTTTTAGTTTTATTTATCATTTAATTTTGAACTATACAATTATTTAAATAATAAGTTAATTTTCATGTAATTAAAATTACTTAAAACGAGGTGACTGAATATCGGTAGTATTTTAAAAGAATTTCATGATTTGTTAAAATATGATAAGCAAATAAAATTTAGTTCCTTGGAGTTTTATATTAAATAAAATGGTATTTTAGCTTATTATAATAGTTTTAGGAATATTACATTATGGAATATTACCTAATTCTTACTTAGTCTCACCAGGTTAAAACTCTTCAGGGTTAATAATCATATAACATTATATCAATATGTTTTGATATTAAGAAAATATTGTTCTCTAGGATAACTGAGAATCCGTAAAATATTGTAATAGAATAAGTCTAAAGATTTAAGTATGATTTATGATTCAAAATGACCATTAAATAATTACTCTATTGATATATTATAGCAACATTGTTTGTAAACTTTCTATTAAATTATAATTATTATGTTACATACTTAAAAACGATAATTTTTAAGGATAATAAATAAATCATACTTAGATTTTGTTATAATTATTTAGTAATAATTTTATTATACGAACAAGATTTTTATTTACATTTACAGTAAACATAGTTTTCAGAACATCTTTAATTCAAAAAGTTTTGATAGTTAGTAAAATATTCATCTACTATTACTGATCATTTCACATTGTAGTACAGTATTTAATTAAAAATAAAAGTATTTTACAAACTACAAATTCATATATGTATTGGTTTGAACAAGCATGCATTATATATATGATCTGAAACATTTTGATTAAAATCCGTTGTGTCTGTTGGGTCTGCTTAAAGCCAGTGAACGATAAAATCCTCTCTTCATTTCATATTTCTTTTATTATGAGCTTTATATAGAACTTGGAATATTTTGTCTACTGTACATTCAGTAACTCGATGTATAATATGTATAGATTTATCGGTGTAGGACAATCCAATACTGTCGTTAATATAGTTTCTAAAAAACACCCTAAGGAGTAATTTTTCTATTGAATATAAAAAGCCCAACGACCAGATACTAAAATATCACATAAATGATTAAGCTTTATATATGTATTATATATTGAATTATTAAGATTTTATAAAATACAATTTTTTAAAAGTTAAGCTCTTTCGAGGTAAATTAATTTTATTTTCCTTTTTTCCTTTTAAAAGAATGCAATAAAGTAACATGTATATTTTATGAGTTATTGATCTACGAATAAATGTTATATACTTGTAGTATTATATAGTTAATACTTTAAAACACATTCTCTGTTTTATTTAATAAGTATAAAAAATTTTATTAACTATAAATCTAAGAATTTATCTTATACGACATCAATCACCTTAAAAATAAATACCTCGATGGTATTTATTAAGTATGGGATCGATACTTCTATTGTTCTCTCTAGGCTATTTCATACAAAATAACGTGCAAATAATTAGCACTAATATTTGAATTTGTTTTTTTCATTAATCTCTAATTTTTTTTGATATAGATTTACTGAAATTACTTAGATTTTTCTAAAATTGCAAATGACAAAAACTGTTATAGGAAATACTATTTTTTCTAAAAATTATTCAATACTCTACATTATTATCTTAGAGTGAAATACATTTGACAGAAGAACTTTTCAATTGAGATAATAAAATTTAATTGTTTTTTTTTTATTTCAAAAAGTTCTTAAACGTCTAATTTTTATGTATTTATGTATTACGTTTGAAATCAGTACATTTTTTACTCGTAGTCTTGTAAAGGTTGAGATAATTGGATTCAAATCTATAATTTTTTATTATATGGTAATAATTGATATTATTCGTTATTTAAGTTGACCGTTTGACAGGAAAAAGTTTTAAACTTAAACTTTATGTTATGTTTTTAATACCCATCAAGGATTTTCAATAACTCAGTTAAAACTTTTTTCATAGGACACTGAATGATATTTTTGTCCTGAAATTGATCGTTTTTTAGTTTCGTATTACTTTTATGTTATATTATATGTTAAATAAAGTATGTCAAAGACTCGTAAAATTGCGTTATAAAATTTTTTTCAATAAATTGAAAAAAAAGTCAATACATTAGAACTTAGCATGTGGACACCAATATAAATTGATATCTGAAAGTGATTAACATCACTATCATAAAACCTTTTGATCTAACAAAATCCAAAAAAAATTAATATGGGTTTTGATATGTCAGACGTCCCGAAACGTTTTCAAAAATTGAAAACTACATTTTTTACTGTGGTTGGGTTTATACTATGTTTCACATGGTAGCACAATTGTCGGAAAGAATTTTTTAAATACTATAATACATATGAAAAGCTTTAATTTGGTAGGTTAAAAGATATTAGACGTTTCAAAACATTTTCATTGTTAATAAATTTTCAAAAAATTTAGATCTACCAATATTTTTAAGTTACAGAAAATTTAAATTTTAGAAAAAAAAAATATCTGAATTTGTCAATTTTGACGGATATCTAATTTCGAGATATTTTTTAAATATTTTAAATTGAAGGAATTTTCTTCAAGTTTTGCGAATTCTAAGTTAAACTAGATTAAAATAGGTGTTTTTTGACGCATAAATCTATAAAATTGTGGAGTTCAACGTTTCTATGGACAAACACATCATGGTAATATTAATATCTTCTCAGCTTTAGCGTCGAAGCTAATAGAATTTTGAATTTAACTTAATTGCGTGTTCTTTTTAAATTAGTAATAATATTTAATTGAAAAAATTCAATAAACTGATATCGATTAAAAAGTTGTAATTTAAAATTCATACGTTTCATGTAAACGTATGGTAATGGAAATTTGTCAAATTCATGTAATTTGACAAATTTCCATTACCATCATAATTTATAATTGCAACCTTTGATTTATGAAATTACAATAACTTTTCTGGCAGATTACTATATCCTCTATTATTTTGGTCTTACCACGTACTAAGCCTTTTGACTTATGACAGCAAACCAT